GGTGGCAGCTTTCAGGGAACTGTGAACATGAACCCCAAGATCCCTCTGCTCCTCCACACTGCCAAGAATCTTTCCATTAACCCTGTATTCTGCTTTCAAGTTTGTCCTTCCAAAATGAATCACCTCACACTTTTCAGGGTTAAACTCCATCTGCCACTTCTCATCCCAGCTCTGCATCCTATCAATGTCCCTTTGTAACCTAGAACCGCCCTCCGCACTGTCCACAACGTGACCCACCTTCATATCGTCCGCGAACTTGCTAATCCACCCTTCCACTCCTTCATCCAAATCATTTACAAAAATCACAAATAGAAGAGGACACAGAACAGATCCTTGTGGTACACCACTCGTAACTGAGCACCATGTTGAATATTTTCCGTCCACTACCACCCTTTGTCTTCCAAGGGTCAGCCAATTCTGAATCCAATCTGCCACATTTCCCCCTATCCCGTGCCTCCTTACCTTCTGCATGAGCCTACCATGGGGAAACTTATCAAACGCTTTACTTAAATCCATGTATACCACATCCACTGCTCCACGTTCATCCACGTGTTTGGTCACCTCTTCAAAGAATTCAATAAGTTTTGTGAAGCATGATCTACCCCTCACAAATCCATGCTGACTACCACGAATCAAACTGTGCCTTTGCAAGTGATCATAAATCCTGTCTCTCAGAGCCCTTTCCAATAACTTGCCCACCGCTGACGTAAGACTAACTGGTCTGTAATTTCCGGGGTTGTCCCTGTTCCCTTTTTTGAACAAGGGAATGATGTTTGCCTCTTTCCAATCTTCTGGCACTATACCCGTGGACAGTGAGGACAAAAAGATCATCGCCAAAGGCCCTGCGATCTCGTCCCTCGTTTCCCATAGAATCCTTGGATAAATCTCATCAGGCCCGGGGGACTTATCTATCTTCAACTTCCTCAGAATTCCTAGCACATCTTCTTTACTAACATCAACCTCCTCTAACCTAACTGCCTGTTTCACAACGTCCTCCTCTACAACTAGGTCCCTCTCAGTTGTGAATACTGAAGAAAAGTATTCATTAAGGACCTCTCCTATCTCTTTAGGCTCTGTGCACAAATTCCCTTTACAATCCTTGATCGGCCCTACCACGAGAACAGTTGGAGTAAAGTGGGAGCGATCCTTCAGGTGCGCTGAGCAATATTTATCCCTCAAAGAACATTAGAAAACTAGCTTTTCAAGTTGTTCCCACATTACTATTCATGAGAGCTTGCTGTGTGCAATGACATACCTTGCATTAGTGACTCTATTCTATTGGATGTAAAGTGTTTTTGTTTTCGAAAGATGCAATAGCAATACAAGTAGTGGTGTTCCTGAGATTATGTTTGCACGGAGATCTCCATAGAAGGAGTTCAATAATGCATACAATTAAACAATTAATTGGATTGATGCTTGATTAGAATAATCAAATATTCACAAAATTGATGAAAAAAACAAAAGGAAATTTGAAGAAGAATCAGAAAATGCTGGATACACACCAATCTCTCAGATTTTGGAAGAGAATAGAATTAATCTTTCTTTCACCTTACAGTTTCTGAATGACCTGTGTGTTTCTGAAATTTCCTATTTGAACCTTTGAATCTTATTTTGTCTTCTTGTCTTCACTGAACATTAATCAGATATTTATTTTGGCCTCAGGAAAATTAGATTGACCTAATGAGGAATATATTGCAGCTTCACTAGAATGTTGCCAATGTTTATTGACTTAAATTCCGAGGACAGATTGGATGAACTTGGCTTGCATTCCCTTCTATTGAGACAGTGGCGGTAGCGAGGGGTGATCTGAGGACTTTAAAAAGTCACGTTAGGACAGAAAAACTATTTCTTCTGGTGTGGAATCCAATACCAGGACAAACACATGTTCAGGATATTTAGAAATGAAATCAGGGAGCACGTCCATGAACAAAAGGAGATGGAAACTCACAATTCTCTTCTCACTATTCCCCCCTTCAAAATATGGTCGGATGATTTATATGTATTTGGAGAAGCAAGAAATGATTAGGGATAGTTAGCAAGATTTTGTGCAAGGGAAATCATGCCTCACAAACTTGATTGAGTTTTTTGAGGAGGTAACCAAGAAGATTGACAAGGGCAGAGTGGTAGACATTGTTTACTTGGACTTTAGTAAAGCCTTTCGCAAGGTTCCACATGGTAGACTAATTAGTAAGAGTAGATCACATGGGATTCAGGATGCGTTTGTCATTTGGATCCAAAATTGGCTTAATGGCAGGAGACAGAGAGTGACGGTGGAAGGTTGTTTATCCAAGTGGAGGCCTGTAAACAGCGGTGTTCCACAGGGATTGGTTCTGGATCCACTTTTATTTGTCATTTATAAAAATAATTTAGACGAGAATATAGGAAGCATGGTTAGCAAGTTTACAGATGACACCAAAATTGGAGTATAGTGGACAGTGAAGAAGGTTATCTAAGAGTACAAAGAGATCTTGATCAATAGGTCAATGGGCTGAAGAGCGGCAGATGGAGTTTAATTTAGATAAGTGTGAGATATTACGTTTGGCAAAGCAAACAGAGACAAGACTGATACAATTGGAAGTGGGGCCTTGGGTATTGTTGGAGAACAGAGGGACCTAGGGGTCTAGGCTTATAATTCTTTGAAGCTTGCATCGCACATAGATAGGGTGGCTAAGAAGGTGTTTAGCGTGCTTGTGTTCGTTGCTCAGACCTTTGAGTATAGGAGCTAGGACATTATGTTGAGGTCGTACAAGACTGTTCTGGAGTACTGTGTCTAGTTCTGGTCTCCTTGTTAAAGAAAGGGTATTATTAAGCCAGAGAGGATTCAGAAGAGATTTACCAAGATATTGCCAGAAATGGAGTGTTTGAGTTATAAGGACAGGCTGGACAGATTGGGACTTATTTCACTGGAACATAGGAGGTTGAGGGATGACTTTATACAGGTTTATAAAATAATGAGGTGTTTAGAAAAGGTGAATGGCAGTGTCTTTTCTCTAGTGTGGGAGATTTCATAACTAGAGGGTGTATTTTTAAGGTGAGAGTAGAAAGATCTTAAAAAGACATGGGGGCAATTTTTTTTTACTTAAAGAGTGGTTCACATGTGGAATGAACTTCCAGGGGAAGTGGTGAATATGAGTACAGTTGTAACGTTTAAAGGACATTTGGATAAGTACATGAATGGGAAATTTTTGGAGGGATATGGGCCAGGCACATGGTGGGACTAGTTTAGTTTGGGATTATGGTCGGCATGGATTGGTTGGACCGAAGCATCTGTTTCCGTGCTGTATGACTCTATGATTGATATTTTCAAGACAGGGATTGATAGATTTTGTGAATGGGGATATCAAAGAGGACAGACAGGAGGGTAAATGGAGTTAGTAGTATGGGTGAGCTCAGCAGTGGTCTAGAGAGGTGAGGAGAGCTAAGAGATAGATGCTTGCACTGGAGTAAAGCAAGGAAATGTAGATTGAGGTAGTTGGAGATCTGGAATAGGTGATTTAAGGAAATGGGGCTATGTAAGTGGGATCAGGCTTTTTTAAAATAATCTCCTGTTGAGATTTTCTCAAGGGTTACCGTTTAGTTTTCAGTGGCTGTTTTCATTCTCGGCAACTCTTTCATTAAGCGATGCAGTCACACAGTATTATTACCTTCAGTACTTCTGTTGAGGGGTGCAATATTTGCACTCTCACAGAAGCAGAAGAGTTCAATATCCTCAATAATCCTCACTGCTCCATTAAACTTAAAGCCACATCACACAAAGAAAGGTTTAATCTCGACACACCGCAACATTTAAAATGGCACAAAACAGCAGGTATAAGTTAGCTAAAAAAAAAGCCCTCATCACAAACATGCTTCCCACGGATTGGTGAGATCACAACATTTCTGAAGAAGGGTCCCGACCTGAAACGTCAGCTTTCCTGCTCCTCTGATGCTGCCTGGCCTGCTGTGCTCATCCAGCTCTACGCTGTGTTATCTCTGCCTCCAGCATCGGCAGTTCTTACTGTCTCTAAATGGTTACATATTTGTCTTCAACACAGTCCGCCACTCTTCAAGTGATTCACTGTATGTGAGATGCTTTAAGGTGTAGTCACACATAAATGTAACTTTTTTATGAAATGAAGCTGTTCAGTATGAAGTTATCCAACTGTCTGCTTCACTTCCATAGTATTGCGACACACTATTCCTTTGTAGAAAGCTTCAAAACAGCTGTTTTCCCTTTGTAGTTCCTCTCCTCCCTTTGAAACCCCCCTTCCCACTTTGCTACTCCTTTCTTCTATTGGCAGACTCACTTCACCTCAGAGCTCTCGGCTCAGAGCTCAAACTTGCCAGCATTGTCCCTGCCCTCCTTCTGAACCCTTGCCTTCGGCCATCCAAATACAGAAGAAAGCTGAGAAGTGGTGGTCTAAAGTGAGGGGAGGCTGTGAGGAGAAATGCAAAGGTATTGGGCTGAGATAGGAGGAGGTATCAATTAGAAGAGATGTAAAATTAAGAAAAGGAGATGGCGAGCCAGTGTAGAAATAGGTGAAAGGAACTGGCTGCAGAAATATGCGCTTTGTGTGAGCTCAGAATGGACTGGTGTGCCAGAATAAGCAAAAGCATTTACAGAAAATTACACAGTGATGTTTTCCAACAAACACTGAATGCATTCAGTTAAATTCTTCTCTCTACCATTCTAATGGAGGCAATAACCCATTTAAAATAAATGGAAAGAAAGGGGCCTTGATGTCAGCATATAATGCTTTCACACAATAACACTACTGACGGTAATTTCCAATTTTTAGCAGGTTGCTCTACAACGCCTTGTTACCAAACATTATCCTCATATTGCATTCCTTGGGAACAATTATGTATACTAACAAATGTTATTTTGACAATACCTATCACTGCGACTATCTAAAATCATGTCATTTAATTTTTTTTTCTGGAGTTAATTACAGCTCAGTAATTACAGGACAACAACAGTAATCTTCAGTGTTTCTCACTGTTCTGTTTGTGCTCTGCAGATATCTGTACAAGCTTCGAGATCTGCACCTGGACTGTGAAAACTACACTGAGGCTGCCTACACACTCCTTCTGCATGCTAAGCTACTGAAGGTTAGGAACTTTCTTTTTAACGTAAAAAATGTATGGTGCTGAGTGTAGAGGTGGGAAGGGAGCCAGTGGTTTAACTATTCACATTCGAATGCTCCGTCTGATGAATCATCAAGCGAAGACTGTGGCAGCTGAGTTTGATGTGTTGGAATAAATGTGAGGTCATCCACTCTGGATTTAAGGGAGCTCAGAACATTTTCAAAATGTTCAGGAGCTGGGATTTACAAACGAGCAGAGAGAATTAGGTGGTCCGAGTAAAGAAATCTCTAAAAGCCAGTGAACCAATAAGAAAACTGAAAAAGCCTAATAAAATGTCGGCTATTGTGTCAAGGCAGTTGAAGAAAACAGGTTGGCGTTTCTGTTGTAATTTTGCTGTGTCTGGTTAGACTCCATCTGGAGAAACTGTGTTCGACTCTCTCCACCGCATCTCAGAAAGGATGCAATGCCTTTTGGAATGGGTACAATGAAGTTTCATCAGAATGAAGCCAGGATCAAAAAGAGTTAATTAGGCCATAAACTGAGGCCTATATACTCAGAAAAAAAGACAAGCAAAAGATGATCTAATTTAGCTATTTAACATAGTCAAAGCAGAGGTAAAGAGATGTTGTTTTCTTTGGTGGTAGGGGCGAACTGAACCAAAGAAGCATATCCATAAAAGTTGAATTGGGTTGCTTAGGGGGTAACATCAGAAAACACCTTTTCATGTGGGTAGTGGAAGTCTGCAACTCTTCCCTTGTAGAAGATGTTAAGAGATTTTAGAAATTGATGGAAGATTTTGAGACTAGGAGACATATTTTTAAGGCGAGAGGAAAAAGATTTGAAAAAGACATGAGGGGCAGTTTCTTTTCACACAGAGAATGGTTAGTGTGTGGAATGAACTGACAGAGAAAGTGGTGGATGTGGGTACAGTTACAACATTTAAAAGACATTTTGATAAGTACATGAATAGGAAATGTTTGGAGGGATATGGACCAGGAGCAGGCAGGTGGGAGTAGTTTAGTTTGGGATTATGGTTGGCATGAACTGGTTGGACCGAAGGGTCTGTTTCCGTGCTGTACAACTCTGTGACAAGGATTGGGGTTGTGGGGACATTATAATAATGTATGCTTGCCATTCAGCCAGCTACGAGGGAAAAACGAGCGACCATTGTCAATTGCTTACTATTCATTCACTAATCCTTAGCTGTATCAGATGTGGGGAGGTGTACTGCAGAATTATGTTCCAGCCAGCAAAGAAAGGAAAGGGAGAATGTCAGATAGATAGAGTATTCTTGGGCCTGTCTTCTTTCTGCTGTGGGGAATCCAAGAATATTGAAGAAAAGGAGAGAAGATACAGGAGTGTCACCCTCCTAATTAACCCTTTCTCGTCCTGACTTCATTCTGATGAACCTTCTGATGAACCATAAGGCATTGCATCCTTCCTGAGGTGGGATATACAGAATTGAACACAGTCTCTTCAGGTGGAGTCTAACCAGAGCATAGCAATGCTTATAACATAACTGTCACCCCATTTTTGTTCGTGGATTTTGACATAATAGCCAATATTCCATTAGCCTCTTCCAGGGTGCGTAACCATTATACATCTATGGACTGACCAAGTTTTCATTTTCTACTTCAGTGGTCTGATGAACAATGTACATCGCATGTTATGCCAAGAGATTTTCACGATTCCCAAACACAGCGGCAGCTGAAAGAAAACCTGTACAAAACCATTATTAATTACTTTGACAAGGGAAAGGTAAGTGCCAAATGATGAGATGAAACCTGGACCCAAAACATGCCAACTAGCATGGGCGAATCCAATTAGTGCCCTCAATAGAGAGTTCTTCTTGTGCTAAGTGCACAGAATGCTGTCCTTTCTGAGCCTGACCATGTGTGTGAGGCACATGATACCACAACATGATCCAGGAAGCAATGATCCTCGGCTTGTGGTGATAGTTCACTGAAATAAAGCAGAATGTGCCTTATACTGTACTAGATAGACAAATACCATTAATAGGCCAAATATCACATGTTACGTACCATAAATCAGGTTTTATTTGAAGTAATAAAGAAAGGGAGGACTTGTATTTGCATAGCACCTTTTACACACTCACAACAGCCCAATAAATCATACAGAGAGTGGAGAATTTTTGAAGCTTAATCACTGTTAGAATATAGGCAGTGCATCAATCAGATTTCACAAAGTGAGATCTCATCAAATAAAGATAATGAGCCGATCTGTATTTTTGTGTAATTAGTTGAATGATAGATATTATCCAGGGTACAGGGTTGAACTCCCATGATCTATTTTGAATAATGTCACAGAATTTTTTTACATCCACCGAGGACCTGTGTTGAATGTCTCATCTGTGAGATGGTACCTCATTCACACATCGCGAAGCTTCCTTAGCACCACATGAAAGTTTCAGTCTGGATTATGCGCTCATATTTTAGAGATTGAGGTCGTGAATCAGAAGAGTTCAACCCCGTGAGAGATTAGAGCTAATGGTTCCCTCTTAAGAACTGGGAGAAGCCTGTTCCCTCCTAAAGCAACCCTCTGCCCTCCCTAAAAAATATCCTGAACACTCAACACTACCCATCACTCCACCTGATTGCAACGTCAGTCCCTTAGACTTCACAGCATTCCAACCCATCTGTCCCAAGCACGATCTGGAGCTCCACAACCCCATTGTTGCCAGGAACTGCTCCCAATAAAGTAACACGGGAATGCCTTCTTAAAGGGAAGAGGCGAATGATGCATGTCCAATGTGTTATGACGTTCACTGTAAAAATGTTGCTGCTGATAATCATTCTCAGTCAGAAAGTGCAGAGAGCCTCACTCTTAATAGGGTATCAGGCCAAAATATCAGAGATGAAAGGATTGTCTCAGTACAGAGAGAGAGAGAACATGAAAAGAGTCACTACTTCTTGCACTCACGACCTCCAGCAACCCCACCCCCTGTAAATGACCATATTTCCAACTGATGCAATAACTCGATGGGCCAAAAGGCCTTTATCTGCGCTGTAGAGTTTCTATGGCTGTGTAATGGTTCTATATTGATGGACGGTTCCTCTTTCGTAGATGTGGGAGGAAGCCCTGAATCTCTGCAAGGAGCTAGCAGATCAATTTGAGAAGGAAATCTTTGACTATGAACTTCTGAGCCAAAACCTGGTAAGTTCCCGTGTGCAGCCTTACATGATGGTGGTCTCCAAAGGGCAAGTGGTGAATTAGCCCATTCCAAGAACCGCTTAAAAGATTCAAGGTTTGGTGTTTCTCAGTTGGAGCCCTCCGTCCTCTTGAGAGATGGAGTCTGTTCTCTATTTGACCTGGGATCAGGGAGTGGGGTTGTCAATAAAATTCAAAACATGTGCCGTCCTCTTCTCACCCCTGGCTTGCAGAGAACACAAGGCCTACCACCCAATATATTTTCCTCACCTCGTCTGCTAACTCACATTGTCTTCTTAAATCATAGAACAGAATCCCTACAATGTGGAAGCAGGCCATTCGGCCCTTCAAGTCCACACTGACTCTCCGAAGAGCAGCCCACCCAGAACTATCCCAGTAAATCTGCATTTCCTACAGTCAATCCACCTAACCTGCATATCCCTAGACACTGTGGGGCAATTTATCATGGCCGATCCACCTAACCTCCACATCTTTGGACTGTGGGAGGAAACTGGCGTACTCAGGGGAAACCCACAGAGACAACATGCAAACTCCACACAGACAGTCGCCCGAGGATGGAATTGAACCCGAGTCCCTGGTGCTGTGAGGCAGCAGTGCTGGTCACCATGCTGCCAACGTTGGCTGATGGTTTGGTTTTTGACCGTTTCTGAACAGACTCACAAATAAAAGATTGGCCATGATCTTATTGAATGGCGAAGCAGGCTTGAAGGACCAGGTGGCTTACTCCTGTTCCTGGTTCTTATGTTCTTATGTACAGCAGCTTGTCATTGGCTTGTACAGTAGCCTTGTCCTCATCCCATTCTCGAAAGCTCCACCGTCAAGGTGGATTAACACAGCAAATATATGTGAATGCCCTTAGCTCAGGGTTCTATTCCAAATTTCGCACTCTGTGCTGCCTTGGCCAGTTATTTCATCGTCCCCTGGGTGAAAATTCTAGAAATCACTGTCAAACCGGATTGTTGGAGTTATTAATAACCTCAGGGTTGACAGTGGTTCAGGACAGAAGTGGCTCAGTATCTTCTCAAATACAAGTAACGTAGATCTGTCAGTGATGCCCATATCCAAAGAATAAGTTAACGAGAAATCGGACCTGCTGATTGATACTCACTTAAGCTCACTCTGAATTTGGACATTTTCCTGTTAAACTGGGACAATTGTTGGGTATGTATTGCCTTTGGGTGGCACAGTGGCTCAGTGGTTAGCACTGCTGCCACGCAGTGCCAGGGGCCTGTTTCAATTTCAGTCTTGAGTGACTGCCCGTATGGAGATTTTTTCAGCCTCCTCGTGTTTGCACAGATTTCTGCTGGATGCTCCGATTTGCTCCCACAGTCCAAAGATGTGCAGGTTAGGTGGATTGGCCATACCAAATTGCCCCAGTGTCAAGGGATGTGCAGTTTAGGTGGGTTAGCCATGGTAAATGCAAGGTTACAGAGATGGGGTGCGGGGCTGGGTCTGAGTGGGATGCTCTTCGGAGGGTCAGTGCAGACTTGAAGGGCTGAATGGCCTCTTTCTGCACTGTAGGGAATTGGTAGAATGATGACTTCAGGTGCATGGGTTGCACCCAAAGGGGATTCTCCCAGATTGCAGGTTTTCCTGTCGAATGGTGTAAATTTAATAGATTTTTGATGAATACTATTGAAGCAAAGATTTGTTAGTTCGGAGGCAATAACTCCATTTATGATTCTACATGAGCAGTTTCTCTAATGACAGGGTTTATTACAATGATTAATAGCAGTATTAAACTTTATATAACTGTTCTACAGTGTTATATTAAATCACATGATTAACCTTGTTTTCTCGACCTGAAGTACTCACCCTCTTGGTTGTCAGTGTGACTGTGGGCGTCTGCCTGCACATGAGATATTAATCTGACTAATAGAAAGAATAAGTTCCTTCCTTGTACTGTCGTGCTACCCTCAGCTACATCTGCCTACAACTTTGAAAAGCATTTACCCTGCATTGTTAGGTATTCACCCACCTTGCAATCTATGCAACTTTTGTATCTCTGTTGCAAGCTTTGTTTAATATAATACAGTATACAGTTTACCTCTTAACCTGTGGTATGCACTGTCTTGGAATAGAAACAAGACTCTGGAGACTGTTGCTCGCATTAATACACAGTAATGCAAACCTAAGCAAAAGGTATGACTAGTGAACCATCTTAAAGCACTCCAGCATTAAATCATCTCGGAGTATTTGCATAATGCTCAATGAAGTTGATTGCTAGTTTTGTAGCATGATCTTTATTGCTTCTGCTTATGGTGTGATGGCTTTGGAGATAACATTGCCCTTACTTGTCTCCTTGTAGAAACAGCAAGCCACCTTCTATGAGAACATCATGAAAATCCTACGGCCAACTCCGGATTATTTTGCTGTCGGGTACTATGGTCGTGGCTTTCCTCTATTTCTCCGAGTGAGTCATTTCTGTCTGAATCTTTAACCTCAGAGGGTGTGCAGTACAGATGGACCAGCGTGGGGTCAGGGTTTAGGGTGTTAAATTATGAAGAAGGTTGCACAAAAGTTGATGTGTAATTTCTGGTGGTTAACAGATTGCAGGGGGGATCTGATCCAGATGTTGAAAATCATGAAGAAATTTGAGAGGGTCCTATAACAACACTTTTTATTTCTATGGCACCTTTGATATCCCACAGGAGTTGTTATGAAAAATACGAACAAGAAACAAGAGTAGGCCACTCAGCTCTGCTCCTCCATTCAATAAGATCGTGGCTGATTTGATTTTAACCCCAACTCTACATTCCCCCATGTCCCCAATATTCTTTCATTCTGTGGGGAAAATGCGTTACACTGACCCACATAAGGAGATGTGGAGGAGCAAAAACTCAGCCTAAAAGACAGGCTTTAAGGATGGGTCATTAGTGGAGATTAGCGAGTGCAGGCAGCTAATTCCGAAGCTTAAAGTCTAGGCAGCTGAAGACATGGGCTCCAATGCAGAGCAATTAAAACTGGCAAGAGGCCAGAATAGAGACGTTAGATGATTATAAGGCTGTAGGAGATTACCAAGGAAGGGAAGGCTGAAGCCACTGACAAATTTGGAGCAAAGAATGATAATTTTGGAAGTCATGTCATCATTCAGCTGGGAGTCAGTCTTGATTAACAAGTACAAAGTGACAGTGAACAGGGTTTAGTGCAAGTTAGGATATGGGAAGGCAGTGTTTTAGACAACCTCACGTTTACGGAGGGGAGAATGTGGGAGGTGACTAGGACTGAGTTGGATTAATCAAATTTAGAGAAAACGATGACAGAGATGAAGATTTCAGCCTCAGATGTGCGAAGTGGAGGATGAGTTGCTTAAGTCGTGGTCGTGATGGTGGTGTCAATGATGTGGTCTGAATTGTGTCCTGATGTTCAGATGATAAGTTTGCTAATGGTTTCATTAGCTGGGGCATTGAATCTAGGTGCAAGGAAGTCTTGTTGCAACTTTATAAAACATTGGTTAGGCCACAGGTGGAGTATAGCATGGATTTCTGGTCACCACTCTATTGGAAGGACCTAGTTACGCTGGACAGGATGCAGAGGAGATACATCGGGATGTTGCCTAGAATGGAAAGTCTCAGTTATGAGGAGAAACCTGATTGCCTGTGTTTGTTTTCTCTGGAGAAGAGGAGGTTGAGAGGGAATTTGATTGAGATGTACAAAATTATGAGAAGCATAGATGGGATAGATATTTACCCAATAACAGACGTGTCTAAGACCAGAGGCATAAGTTTAAGGTGAGGTGGAAGTGGTTTATTGGGAATTTGAGGAAAAGTTTCTTCACCTGCAGGGTAGAGGGGATGCGGAACTTGCTGCCTCAGAGGGTAGTGGAGGCAGGTACTTTTGCAAAATTAAAGAAGCATCTGGACAAGCACTTAAAATACCAGGACACAGTAGGTCATGGACCAAGTGCCAGTAAATGGGATTAGTGTAGTTTGGTGTTTGTTGGTCAGCATAGACATAGCAGGCCGAAGGGCCTGTTTCTATGCTGCATGACTCAAACACACGGACCTTGATATTCTGCTTTTGGATGATATTACTACATGTACTTGAGAAATAGGACAGGCCCAAGGATAAATCCTGGGGGATTCCCACCCTATTTGTTTAGGCATATGAAGATATATCATTGCCGGTGATCCACTGGCTACAATTTGATCAGTGAGATTAGAATCAGGCAAGTACAATTTCAGACAAATGGACGCTGGTATGAAAATTGAATTTTTTTTTTACAGTACTCCCACTCACAATGGATGACACTTGTTTTTTTTTTAATAAGAGTTACATTGTTAATTCAGCCCATTCCAACCCTCTGAAGAGCATCCCACCCAGACACATCCCCTTACCCTATAAGACCGCATTTCGCATGGCTAATCCACACATCCCTGGATACTATAAGCAATTTGACATGGCCAGTTGACCTAACCTGCACATCTTTGGACTGTGGGCATAAATCAGAGCACCTGGAGGAAACTCACACAGAAATGGGAAGAACATACAAATTCCACACAGCCTGAGGATGGAATTGAACACAGGTCCCCGATACCGTGAGGCAGCAGTGTTATCCACTGAGCCAATGTGCCAACCTTGAAGTTTAACCCAGTGGGACAGAGATTAGAGAAATGACAAAAGCTACTGCAGATCTCATTGCAATGAAGGCAATGATGAGTTTCTTAGAGAACAGTATTCCTTGAGAGATAGTAGGAACTGCCAATGCTGGAGAATCTGAGATAACAAGGTATAGAGCTGGATGAACACAGCAGGCCAAGCAGCATCAGAGGAGCAGGAAAACTGATGTTTTGGGTTGAGACCCTTCTTCAGAAAACCGGATTTCTGAAGAAGTGTCTTGACCTGAAACATCAGCTTTCCTGCTCCTCTGATGCTGCTTGGCCTGCTGTGTTCATCCAGCTTTACACCTTGTTATCTCAGTATTCCTTGAGAATTGTCTCTGAGACAAAAGTTACTGTGCTGGCCCACATTTTCACATGGCATACGAGTTTAAAAACCAGGTGGACCTATTCATTAACTGTGGGACAGAGTGGAATTTCATCTGAGGGCACATTGGAAAGTTGTGCTCAAAATTGTGCCCACTTGACTAATGCCAATTTGCTGTCCAAACCTCACTGTCATTCACTGAAAAATGTGTAAACAATCAGGATCTGAGGAAAGCAGTTAAATATCACCACAACTTTCTTACTTAAGTGTGAAAATTAAAGTTACAATCTAGCTAACCATCATTCATAAACATCAGACATTTCATGCTTAAGAACTCTATATCTGGGAAGGTTTGTAATGTTTAATGAGTCATTCTAGTCTCATAAAAATGCACTAGGAGACAAAAAATGCAAACCGGGTCACAGTGAATTTTTTTTAAAATCACCTAAAATATTGCAATAGAAGCCTATAAAAAAAAAAGCCTTTGATTTCTGAAAGAGAATTAAATATTCCAGTTTATAAAGTCTTCATGGAGATTGGGGAGGGGTAGTTTTGGTGATTAAAAATACTATTACAACATCAGTAAGAGAGGATCTAGGTAAGGGAAACAATCAACAAAGTTTTTATGTTTAGAATTAAGCAATAAGAAAGAACTTAACACTGAGGGGGAGCTGTCTACAGGCCTCCTGATAGCTACAATGTAATGGCAGACTATATTAATTCAGAGATTAGAGTGCTGTATAGTAAAAACAGTACTATTACAAAGGGAGTTTTTAATTTTCATATAAATTTGAAAGTGCAGAGGTAGCTCAAGTTGCGTCAGCACAATAATAAATTTCTCAAATCCATCAACATTGTTTCTGGAGCCACCAAGCAGAGTAAACTGAGTTAATAATTTAATAGTAGGAGAAAATTTCAGCAAAAAAGTGATGATAATATGATCAAATTCAATATTGGTTTGAAAAGTCAAAACAGTTTGTATAATTGACCCAAAACAGATTTTAGTACTAGTAATTTTAAAGGGATGAGACAGAGATTGCAAGCTGATTAAAACTGTTATTGGATAAAACTATAGAACGACTGTGGGAGGTTCAAAACCTTAACACAAGACCGTTATATACCTCCATGGGGCAAAGCTATATTCAGCCTACAAAACAGCTGAGGAAACAACTGCCTAGTGGTATTATCACGGACTGTTAATCCAGAGAGCCAGGTAATGTTCTGGGGACGTGGGTTTGAATCCTGCCAAAGCAGATGGTGGGACTTGAATTCAATAGATATCTGGAGTTTAAGAGTCTAATGATGACCATGAATCCATTGCTGGTTGTCCATCTGGTTTACTAATACCCTTTAGGGAGGAAACTGCCATCCTTACTTGATCTGGCCTACATGTGACTCCAGATCCAAAGCAATGTGGTTGACTCATGACTGCCCTCTGGGCAATTAGGGATGGGCAATAAATGCTGGTCTAATCAGTGATGCCCTCATCCTGTGAATGAATAAACGAAAAAGAGAGCAGAAATGCAGAGATTAGGGTAGATCCCAAGAACATGGCTACATATAAAGAATGGCATAGGAAAAAATGAGATATTTGAAAGGAATAACATGATTGACAGAAATAGCATGTATAATTATATCAGAAAGAACAAGTATAGTTTAGGGGAATGACTTTTAAAACAGACACTGGTAATCTTTAAATGAAATTTAGGAAGAGAATTGTTGAATAGTTATTTTGTGTCAGTCATCAGGAACAAGGACGGAGATAAAAATCCACGATTTCAAGAAAATTAATAATAAATCAAGGCCTAGAATTCTCTAAAGTTAACATATGGATGAAAATAGCATTTAAAAATGATAAATCAAGGCTTGGAATTCTCTAAAGTTAACATAAGGATGAAAATAGCATTTAAAAAAAGGCACTCAGGACGAACAAATTTTGAGAATGATAGTTCCCGCCCTAGGATTTTTTAGGAAACAGATAAAGCAACAGCAGTTGCTTTAGCCATAATCTTCCAAAATTTGCCCTATTCAGCAACGTTCAATTTAGTTTGGAAAATTACAAACGTAACTCCACCATTTTAAAATGATGTAGAGGTGCTGGTGTTGGACTGGGTTGGACAAAGTCAGAAATCACACGACACCAGATTACAGTCCAACAAGTTGACTTGAAATCACAAGGTTTCAGAGCGCTCCTCCTTCGTCAAATGGACGTCTCCTGATGGGGCACATTTGCCAGCATTTGGCCCATATCCCTCCAGACCCTTCCTATAAGTTGATTATAGAAGGCTAACGAAGATTTATAAACTGTAACCCATATCTCACAAACCTACTTGAAATTTCTGGGTATATAATTAATATAGTAGACAGAGAAATGTTTGAAGGTTGTGATTTATATGGACTTTGGTTCATGAACCTGGGTTCAATTCCAGCTTTGGTTGACTGTTTGTTTGAAGCCTGTACATTCTCCCTGTGTCTGTATGGGTTTCC